TGAAACTGTAATGAAATCACAGGAGTGATTAAATCAATGAAAATAATATAAATAACAAAAAAAATAAACAACGGGGATGCCTGTTTTCACTTCATCTATTTTAATACTTCATTTTTACTTCCTAATTTATTTCTGAAGTCAACTATTTTCACCTCTCTACAACTGCATGGACAACAACCTGAGTCTACCATTGCCAGTTCAGCTTCCTCTGATGGAAGGACAGATCAGCTCTTTCAGAAGTTTATTAATCTATGTTCTTAGCATTCAGAGGTTCTATGTCTTACCTTTTACTTCATTACAGTTGTTGTTTAGCAGGTGATTATTTGAGCAGTTCCATTTCCTGGAACAGATGTTTACTGTTTCTTAAAAATATGTATTCAGCATACAGACTCTTTGTGTCTGTTAGGTCAGCTAGGTTTAACAAAGGGTGTTGCATGTCCTTTTGTTTTTGTCTGAAAGACTCTTCTGAAATTTTATTGTAGTACAACACTTGTACATTACTTTTATTCTAAACTACAGATATGTAGTAGATAAGCGCTATGAGATGACTGTTGTTGTAAATATGCGCTACACAAATAAAATTGAATTGAATTGAATTGAATATGTCAGTTGTATTTAAATGTGCTTCGTGTTCCTTTGCTTCCATTGACTAACCTTATCATCCACATAGCCTTGTAATTAATTTACAAATCCTGGCAAAGTCAGCAATGTGGTCTTATGTCATTACAGAACTGTACATGTTGCTATTGTTAATATTTATACACACTATGAACCATTAAAAAAACATCATCACATTAATGGCTTAACTTCAAAAATACTTTTACTGCACATTGAAAGTTCCATTTTCCAAAAAAAAAAAAAAAAACTACAAATGCTTAAAAAAGCAAACAAAAAATAACATAAACATTTAACAGAACAGTTTGATTTATAAAAAGAGGTAGTTGAGCTACATAACTTTTAACAACAAGTATAAATAACTGTAAAACCATGAACTCTAAACTGTTTACAGTTTGTCACAATTGGAGAGGATTGGGGTGGGAAAGCGCATAGCTGGTAAGAGTGAACAGTGTTATGGCCACAAGTGCAAAATAAAAATATATTTTAAAAAAAAACACTCATTACATAAGGAATGACACTCTTGGCTATGTCTGTGGCTACAAATAAACCATTAAGACTCAACTTGCTTAATGTTGCTGGAGTTGGGCCTTAATGGACTCCACAAACTGTTTAAAAAAATATCATTTTCCAGAGTGGTCAAATGAACGCCATCATGCAAAAATAGCCCAGGAGAGTCAAAACCTTATGACAGGGTGATGAATGAATCCACCATTTAAAGAATGAACACATGTAGCCATAACACTGTTCACACATTTGTGTGCTTTGTCTATTTTGGGCGGACTGGCACCAGCCTTCCACAAACATCTCTGGGTGATGCCAGAAAAGAGGATTTTCAGTCCTGGAAACTGTAGGTGGAGGTGGTGCAGCTCTTCTTTCATTGTTTTGAGAAGTTTGACACTTGAAATGTTGCCCAGGTCATTGCCACCACAATGGACAAGGAGAACATCAGTTACTGCTCTTTCTTGTAGAGACTGCTTGAAAAAGGAAGGAGGCCTCTCCACCTCAGACCACCTCAACCAAACCAATGGATGAGGATCCCATCAACACCGAGGTTGCTTCTCATGGTCTCTGCAGCCCTCTCTGCTCCACGTTGGACATAGCTGTCACCTATTATCCAGACTGCGACTAGATAGGAAAAACATTTTGATGGTGAGAAATATGTCATATTCCAAATTGTAGATTGTAGAAGATTCCATCCATCCATTATCTATACACCACTTTATCCTCACTAGGGTCGCGGGGGGGCTGGAGTCTATCCCAGCTGACTTAGGGCGAAGGCAGGGGACACCCTGGACAGGTCGCCAGTCTATCACAGGGCCACACTTAGAGACAGACAACCAAGCACACTCACATTCACACCTACGGACAATTTAGAATCACCAATTAACCTCAACATGTTTTTGGACTGTGTGGGAGGAAGCTGGAGAACCCAGAGAGAACCCACGCTGCACGGGGAGAACATGCAAACTCCACGCAGAAAGATTCCAGTGCCCCCACCGGGCAACAGTGCTACCAACTGCGCCACCCTGCAGCCCTGTAGAAGATTGTATTGTAAAAAAAAAAAAAAGGAAGTAATTGGCACTCTTATTAGATGAACTTCACAGTTGTCTGACAATACATTACTATTGCAGCTAAATAAAACAAAACGATTAACCCAGTGATCAATGCTCAAAAACAACATTCGTGGCTCCTACAGTAACTATCACTCACTTCTGTGGCTCTGTGTGGGGGCAAATGCCATTTTGGATCTCTGCTTTCGAAGATAGACATAAAGATAGACAGACGTATATATAGATATTCATTAACTGTATAAGAACACATCTCAGTAACTGTTCGGTGGTGAAACGTTAAATCATTAGGGAGCTATATATACAGTATATCTGCTGATCATGAACGAATAGCATGTCAAGACGTAAACAGTGAAAAAATGAATCACGCCATTTAGCTATTATGATTAATCAACAGTAATTAACGTTACAGCTAATGATAAGCTAATACTAAGGACACTGACAATTCCCATTTACCACTGCGGATAAACACTAAGGTAGTTAATGTAACCTTACATGAGTAAAACACATTGTAAAACTGAGTTTTACAATGTGTTTTACTGAAAGTAATTAAGCAGTTTAATGTTGACTTACAGTAACTTCAGCTATAACATAGGTTACTCATGTTATATGTGATATTTGTCAACATGTATGGACATGTACTCAATTACTTCGTGGGATTGCTTTAACATTTACTGTAGTTAATTTAACAAGTAGCGACAAAGTTTACATCAACTTTTGGGAGTTAACGTTGTTAGCGCTGGCTGAATGCACTTACTTGCTGTCGGAAGCGACGACGCAGAAGAAGCATAGAATGAGCAGAAGGCCGTAAATGTGGGCGGGCAGAGAGGGCCTGCCTCTCAATCTGTCTGACCAATCGCTGCTCCTATGGCTCCGCCCCCTCTGACGATTTTTGCGTCTCTGGCTCCAAAAATCCAGGATGTCAAGAATGTCGTTATCCCAACATGGAAGCAGTCAAAAAGTAGAAGAGAAACGTTTGGAGCAAGGATGCAAGGAAATATAGAGTGAGCTGGCATGGCAAATTTTGAGTTTAGTCCATCTGTTGTGTATCCACCACGCCCACCATGGTTGTCACCAGTTCCGGAGGCTGATACAACTTTACATGAGAGAATAAAGAATTATAAGGGAAATAGTGGACAGCTGGCTATGATGTATAAAGATCATTTCTATGGATATGTTCAAATCTTTACAGAAGGATCAAAACAGCCAGACATAGGGAAAGTGTCAATTGCATATGTGATTCCAGAATTTGACATAAAGTTCTCTGCAAGAGTTTCTGATCATTTATCAGTGAATTCAGCGGAGCTGATAGCAATTGTTATGGCGTTGCAGTGGGTGGAGCAAATTAAACCGTTAAGAGTAATTGTATGTTCAGACTCACTGTCAGCTTTAGAAACCCTCAAATCAGGTAATGTAAGTGAAAGGTATGATCTTGTGTGTGAAATATTTGTTTTGCTTCAGAGTATTCAAAATGGGGGGTCTCATGTGAGATTTGTTTGGGTACCAGCTCATGTGGGTTTGACTGGAAATGAGCTGGCAGATAAATTTGCAAAGCAGGCTTTAGGAGCAAACAACATTTCTATTCAGTGTAAAATTGCCAAATCTGAGGCCAAGTCTTTAATTAAGATCTATGTAAAGAAGTTGTGGCAAGAAAGATGGGATAGGGGAGATAAGGGAAGGGACTTGTACAATATCAGTCCTCAAGTTTCTTTGGGACGCCAAGGAGGAAGGTGTCGAACAGAAGAGATGATACTTACTAGGCTCCGAATAGGGCACACAGGATTAAATAAATACTTACACTTGATAGGCAAGCATGACACTGGAGATTGTGAGATATGCAGTGTACCTGAAACAGTAGAGAATGTCCTAATGAGCTGCATAAAGTATGACAGAGTATTGCTAAAAAGAAAATTGAGGATATAGAAGAGACATTCAGCCTGAGAGGCATATTATCTAGGCCATCAGAGCACAAATTGATTACAATTTTACTTGACTTCTTACGAGACACAGGGCTTAGAAATAGAGCTTTTTGTGTGTGTGTGTGTGTGTGTGTGTGTGTGTGTGTGTGTAGCTTGCATGCTACTCCTTTTTTCTGCAAAGCTGAGCCATAAGAGTGATCAAACGATCACTCTTGCACAATGCATCCGGAGGGTGGGGGTAGTGCGCTAAGTTAGTCCGTATCCGCCGTTAAACGCTCAAAAAGAAGAAGAAGAAGAAGAAGAAGAAGAAGAAGAAGAAGAAGAAGAAGTGACGAAATGGCCCGCGATTGGTCAGCGGGCCACAGTGGCGTTTCCTATTGGCTGAAGGAGTTGCCCCGCCAGTGAAGTCTGGAAACAGCGCCACAATTAAATTGCACGCTTTGTTTTTGGTTTTGTAGATAGTTTGCGGTCTGAATGTGTTGAAGTAGACCCCGATAGACGAGATTCAACCTTACCTTTCAGTCACTACTCTGCAGACTCGAGTTTCGTCGCGCTGGTGCGGCTACAGAGCGGATGTGGTCCGAGCGTGCAGCGAACGGAGCAAGTTGACGTTAGCAAGTTGTTGGCCGGGGCCGGCATTTATTTGTAGGTCCGATCTGTCGGCCAAAGCAGAGATGAGCTGCCCAGTGAACCTCCAGGCTATGCCGTGTGGTGTCATCGAAAAGGTTTTAACGCCAGAGAATGTGAGAGGAAGGTGAGCTGTTAGCACACAAGTTAACCAACTGTGAGTGCGGTTTGCAGGTGAGCTCTCAGGACGACGGCTCTGACACCTGACTGAGTTTAAAAGTAGCTTCCTGTAAAAAAAAGTTACGTCAAGTCACCAACGGTCTGATGTGGACTTAACTGTAGCCACACTATCCCGGTGTTTAACTGCTGATCCTTGTTCCGTTTAGCACATCATCAAATAACACACAGCCATTCTTAGAAAGGACAGAAGGCTGAAGCTACGCACGTCCAGCTTCCGTGTTTTAGATCTTTCTCTTAGGACAATATAAACTGTTAGGAAGCTTTAAAACAATGAAGTACCTTCAGATCATATCAGCCTGTTGTTTAGAAGAACAACAAATGTGCCTTTAAGCTCAGATTTTCTGAGTTGCTAAGACATTGTAGGTAAAGGTTTATACAGGATTAAGAACAAATCAGAGACCGATTAGATGCTAAACAAATATAAAAGATGTGCATTGATTGATTAGTGATTGACACGGTGTCCATCAGGCAGGCAGTCTTTACGACATGTTTTATAAACAGTTTCTGGACATTAACTGCATGAAGTTCTATGTCACCATGTGGTTGATGTGTGCACTTTTGTTTGTTTTTTTGTCAAGAAATCGGTTTCCTTGTGAGGTCATGTTTAATGTGAAGCTGAGGCTTTAGTGGTGAAAGACTGCTCAGAATTTCTTTATGTGTGTTTCAGTCATCATATCAGCTTCATGCCTTAATGCAAAACAAGACAGCGGATCTCTTGTCTATTCTTAATAAGAATTTGTTATGTAAGACAATCATTTGTTTCTCAGGATGCTATTAAGCAGGCAATGTGCTCCTGTGTTAAGTTGTGAATACCAGTTCAGATGGAGCATCAACATGTTTAACTGACAGTAAACAGGTTTTATGAAACTTCTTAGGCTGTCAGTGGAGCAGCACCCACGGGTCAAAGGCAGATGGCCGCCCTCCTTGAGCCTGCTTCAGTCGGAGTTAGTTTTTTTTGTGCCTCCTGGTAAAGGACAGGTTTTTTGTTCCTTCCCACTGTTGCTAAGTGCTTGCTCAAAGGAAATCCAAAGGAAACTCTGGATTTGCCAGGTTTTCTGTTTAAATTTTGCACGGTGCGAAGTATGAAGTGCTATGAGATGACATATGTTGTGAATTGGCACTATATAAATATAATAAAATTAAACTGAATTGAAAATTTATCCCATTGTGACATATTGTTTGGATTTCCAGTACGGGGCTTGATAAATATCTATTTTGTTGGGCAGCACGTTTCATATTGCTGTTTGATGATGATTCATTTTGCAATAACGGATGATTTTTACCTGACAAGGTCTTTATCTTGTCACACGTCACACACACACAGGTAGGCCTGCTGTTAATAAAAATAATGAATCTATCAATGAAAACATTTGAAACACAAAGAGAAGAGTATAAACAAGTGTAACCACACAACATGAGCAGCAGTTAAAACTGGAACACATAAGGCTGTATGTCAGAAAAGAAGCAGACCCTGGACGAAGAAGATCCTCTCTGTGGAAGTCTTCTTCACAACATCTGTGTCTCAATAGTTAAAAGATGACGACAGGGTATTTGTACATCCACACCACAACAGATGGTCTGCTATCAAAAACCCATCTTTACATGTTTCAGACCTGGATGGCATTACCTAGTAAGGCTCCAGTCAAAATTTCAGATTAGTTAAATCATTATTTCTTTTTTGAAAACACAAAACAGGACGATTTTAACTGGGTTTTTTTCACAGTCAGATTTCAAACTACGTTAAACCAGTTCTGGATCAAAAACCACTACAGCAAGACTTCTCAAATCTAGACTAGATGAAGAGGGAGAGTTTACAGACTGTTTAAAACACAATTTGCGAAACATTTGATTTACTTGTGACCATGATCAGATGATGTGATCTGCTGTTGTCTGAATGGAGATAATGTTGTGAAACTGACATTTTTGTGTTTCTATCAATAAAGGTTTCACAAATCTGAAAGTTCCCAGCCAGTTGTTATCTCATGATCCATTGTCTTTTGTGTTGTTGTACAGAGCCTCAGTGAATTCTGTCACTCAGTTGAGTTTCCCCAAATCCAGATCAGCTCTGTGGGACAGCAGTCCTACAGGAGAGAAGCTCCGCCTCCAGCTCTGCTCACACAGGTAAACGCACATGTGCTGACTACTAAAACTGGATTTGTACTCCAGTGTTAAGCAACTACACTGTACCTACGATGGATCCAAGGTTACATCTTGGACTGCAAGAGCTGTGCTTGCCTACTTCTGTTTTCTCTACATTCTTCTGATGGTGTTGCAGGTTGTTGACTACATGAAGAAAGTTAAAGAGTCAGTCGCCTCTTTTTCTCCAACATACATTTAACAAAGAATACAGCAAGCTGTCTGCTCGAGATCACAGCTTGCTGTGAATGAATGTACAGACCCTTTCCAAAAAATTAGAATATCATGGAAAAGTTGTTATAGATTCAGGGCCCACAATTTAAACAATTTCAAGTATTTATTTGTTAATTTTTACACAATTTGGGCTTCCAGCTCATAAAACCCACGAAACAGGAATTCAAACATTTAGAATACTGTGAAGAAATCACCATTTACGTCTCAGTTTTTGCAGAAAAAAAATAGGATCACATCAAATCAATAAAAATATGGTACTTTAAAAATGATATGCCAATTTTCAATAGTTGGTTGGGAATCCCTTTGCCTTAATCACTGCCTCGATGCCCTGTGGCATTAAGGCAATCAGCCTGTGGCATTGCCTGATACTTATGGAAGCCCAGATTCCCTTGATGCTTGCTGTAAGCTCTTCTTTGTTTTGGGGTCTGGTGCCCCTCATTTTCCTCTTGATAATACCCCATAGATTCTCAATGGGGTTTAGGTCCGGCGAGTTGGCTGGCCAGTCAAGCACTGTAATGGCATGGGCATCAAACCAGGTTTGGTGCTTCTGGCGGTATGGGCAGGGGCCAGGCCCTGCTGGAAGATGAAATCTGCATCTCCATACAGCTCCTCAGCAGAAGGAATCATGAAGTCCTCTAAAACATTCTGGTAGACTGTTGCGATGACCTTGGATTTAAGAAAGCAGAGTTGACCAACACCTGCACCGGACATTGCACCCCAAATCATGACTGACTGTGGATATTTCACACTGGACCTCAAGCAGCTTGGGTTCTGTTCCTCACCCATCTTCCTTGGAACCCTTGGACCTTGATTCCCGAATGAAATGCACACTTTACTTTCATCGGAAAAGAGGACCTTTGACCAAGGCCAACAGTCCAGTCCTTCTTCTCCTTGGCCCAGTTGAGACGCTTCCTACGTTGGCTCAGGCTCAGAAGTGGCTTGACCCGAGGAACCCGACAGTTGTAGCCCATCTCCCGGATGCGTCTGAATGTGATGGTTTTTAAAGCTGTGACTCCTGCCTCATTCCACTCTTTCTGGATCTCTTCCAGATTCTTGAATCTTGTATGTTTGATAATCCGCTGAAGCCCACGGTCATCTCTTTTGCTGGTGCATCTTCTTTTGCCACATTTTGCCCTTCCACTGGACTTTCCATTGATATGCTTGGACACAGCACTCTGTGAACAGCCAGTCTCCTTAGCTATGAACATTTGTGGCTTACCCATCCTATGGAGGGTATCAATGATCGTCTTCTGGCCAGTTGTCAAGTCTGCAGTCTTCCCTATATTGAACCGAACTGAAACAATTGAACCAAACTGAAGCAGTTTAATGACCCCTGGGGAAACCTGTGCAGGTACTTTGGGTTTAGTAGATGATTAGTGTGTGACACTCAGTTTAAAACATTCATGCTCTGCAAAATTTGGGCTTATTTCTTCACAGTATTCTAATTTTTTGAATTCCTGTTTTCGTGGGTTTTATGAGCTGGAAGCCCAAATTATGTAAAAATAAACAAATAAATACTTGAAATCATTTAAATTGTGGGCCCTGAATCTATAATCTATGAAAGTTTAACTATTTGAATGGAATTATGGAAATTAAACAACTTTTCCATGATATTCTAATTTTTTGGAAAGGGTCTGTATGTGAACACAGTGACTCATTCTGTAGGGATGATTGAATGTTTATTGAATGATTTTCACTCTTTATAGCCCCTTTCAGACATGTGACATGGAACATTTCTTGCTTCATCAATCTGGTGAAGTGACGGCGTTCTTGTCATGCACACACAGGTCACTTCTCTGCTGATGTTCCTCATGGCTGCATTCAGATAAACCCACCACAGTAAGGTACAGCTGCAGTAAGCGTGCAATATTTGTCATTGCGAGACTAGTCAATACACCAAGTGATGTATGAAACATCATTCAGCTACTGACTAAAATGAAACTAGTAGCAGCCCAGTTTACTTTTGATTTCCTAAACAGTGACACTTACAGTTCAGGACTCAACCTGAGGACAGCTGTGATGTGACAAAATATTAAAGTGCAGCTGATAAACTGAGACAGCTCACCTGTCTGAGGTCAGCAAAAGTTCACAGCTGCTATTCGAGCCTGATTGGCTCTTTCTCCATGGCGAGATGATTTGTTGTTAAATCTAATTAATGAGGTTACTGCTGTTGTTCTGTGTGTAATGCTCACAGCTCTGTCTCTTTGGAGACACTCGTGGATCCTACTGCTGTCTGATGCAGCACGTTTGTAATAAACTACAAAGAAATAGTCCTAAACAGCTGGAAATATAACTGTGATTCTGTGTGTGACAGCTCACCTTTCCAATGTGAAGACATGCAGATCTACACAGTGTGACATACTGTCTGATCCTGACACAGACTGGTCTGCTCTCCATGCTCTCCCAGCTATGTTTTATAAGAATGTTATTACATTTCTGGCACTATTGTTCCATGTCCAAATGTGAACAACTCTCTCTCTTTGGAGACCTTCATATGGCTCCTGCTGCTGTCTGGTGCTGCGGCTATTGAACAGCCTCAGAGCCAAAAGTTCCAAACAGCTGGAAGAAACGAACTACAGCTCCTCTTAAAATCTTGTGGGGAAAAAAAAAACAAAGAGTATCATTTGTATGTACGCTCTTCGTGTCTGTTTTCATTGCTGTATAGTTTTATTATTATGGAGAAAAGCGAGTATTTTGTGATTTTGGCACACAAACTGTATGAAGCGTCTCTGTGATGTTTTCAGATGAATGATGATGTTAAAATGTGGAAAAATCCTTCAAATCAATTTCCACAACACAAAGTACCGCTGCTTGTGCCTGTCCATTAATGTGATGGCTCAATTCTCACGTGTGCCATGTTGAAAGTGGTACAGAAATGTGACCATGTCTGTCCTAGAAATACTGCTGATACGACTTACATAACAGGTAAGCATTCAGGGTGTGCATTCCAACATGCAGCTGACCCGTTTAGTTGCTGTTAGATTAATGGAACAGAGTACATGCCTGGAGGAGTACATGAATGAACATTATAATTACTATTTTGAACGGATGAATGTGAAACCCCAGGAAGAGCCGAGTGCTGTTCCTGAGCATTAAACCGTGTTAGTATAACTTCCACCATCATGACTGGAGACACGCTGACCTAAAATGCAAACCTGTGAAATAGGGACATGTGGAAAGTCCAGTAGAAGAAGGCTATGATTATTTTATTTTATGTGTGCAGGGAACCAAGAGTAAGTTGACAGGCAGGAGACTCAGTCAAGCATGCTGTCTACTTGCTCGGCTGAAGCGGATACTGATGCTCATGCTTTATAGGCCTAAAGTTGTAGAACCACAACTGTGAAAGGTCATGATGCACTTGCATGGATGCGACCACGTGAAATTAGAACTCTCAAAAAATGGTTGCATATGCAATTGTTTTGGTGACAGTTTAGAGCCCTGGAGATGACAGGAGAAAAGATTCAGTGACTTCTTGTAAATCGCTTCTTCAAACCCATTTGTATAGACTTGCATACGTCTCATGTCATACTTTTAATGCTTTTTGTTGCTTTTATTATTCTATTTGTATTTATTTTTATGACATTTTACGTTTTGTATTTTGGCAACTTTGTCTTAATGTCATCATAATTTTGCATGGCTTTGCTTGGTCTTCCTTTTCTTATTTTCTCTCTAGGTGTCCGCTTTTGCTGTGTTTGTCAAAGCTCTTTATCAACCCTGTTTTTAAAGGTGCTGTATGAATCAGGTTTACTTTGACTTTTACGCTGTAACACAGTCTAATGCCAGCTGTATACATTGTAAATGCCTCATGTCTGGGCAAAATCATGTGGGGGCATCAGAGTAGGCCAGCGGTCCCCAGTAATTATGTTGACTTTTGTCCAGTCAGTTGTTCAGTCAGTAGTAAACCCACCACTTGCCCCCGCTGCTAGCTCCACACCTGTTGTCCAGGCACTGATCCTCCAAGACATTGGTGTGCCACAGCATCATGTTCATAGCAACATAATGCAGAGCCCCACCGGTGACTTGTGGTGCATAAATGAGAAAGTTTGGCGCCCCAGTGCAACCAAGTAAGAAGTCGGTCTGGAGGCCGGCACCTCTTACACTCGCCAGATATGCTGATTTTAACACTGTTGTGTCTCATCTATGACGACGGACTGTGTGTCTCTGCAGGAAGCCTCGGTTAGTGCTATTGGAGAAAGCACTTCGCCTGGCACAGCGTCACGCCAGTCACAGCAACAAGCCCTGCCTCCACTGTTTCTTCCTGGGATCAGTGTCTGTCGACTCGGGTCAGAGTTCACCTTCGTCTTGTCCATCTCAGTGTTTATATAATCCTTTATCAATGTGTCTGTGTGGCAGCACAGTGTTGAATCCACTTGTCTGTTCCCTGTGTGCGGTTGTGGTCCAGATGAGGAGGGGGTCACGGTGACTCTGAACCGGTTTGATCCAGGTCGGGACCAGGCTGGTGCCTCAGGCCGGGTTCCCTCCGCTCAGCTGCCTGGAGACGTCCTTGTTCCCTGTTTGTTCTCAACTCAGACTGAGGAGACGTCCGACCCTATCGTCCAATCGGAGACTGAGCTCCATCACTGCTTCAAGGTGAGTTGGACACCTGCCGGCAGCACCGGCAGCATGTTGAGTTGTGTGTATTGATTTGACGCCTTGTCATCTCACAACATCTGCGCTTTATGTCATTTACACATGATAGTGTCTGTTTAATTCATGCCTATTCAGCCTGATGGCTTGGCTCCCAGTATTGCTGTTTGCAGCCACTAATCCACTGCTTTATACTTGTTGCTGGCTTTGTTGGGTTATCAAAACCCTAACATTAAAACTGAGACCAGCTAATGAGGGTCAGTTCAGCCTCTACATGGCTCTGTGGCTCTGCTCTCTCTTCGTGCTCATGCAGCAAATGTCCTGCTGTGATCAGCTGATACAAAGAAAAAAAGCTGTAGTTTAAAATCATTCTTTTGATGAATTGTCCTACAGCAGTAATGAGATTTCTTCCTGTCTTGTAATGTCTAACCCTCTCTGTTGTCATGGCAACATCTGATTTACACTCGCCGGTCACTTTATTAGATACACCTGTTCAATTGCTCTTTAACACAAAAATAAAATCAGTCAGTCACATAGCAGTGACTCAATGCATTTTGGCATGCAGACGTGATGAAGGCGACCTTCTGAAGTTCAAACTGAGCTTCAGAGTGAAGAAAGATGATTTAAGTGACTTTGAATGTGACATGGTTCTTGGTGCCAGACAGGCTGCTCTAACTATTTCAGAAACTACTGATCTACTGGGATTTTCACACACAATCATCTCTAATGTTTACAGAAAGTCTAAAAAAAAGGAAAATATTCTGTGAGTGACAGTTGTCTGTATTAGAATCAAACCCATGTAAGTGCATTTGCACGTGTGCCTCATTTTACTGTTAATTTATGCAACGTTTTGGTATATCTTTATCATCTAAATGATATGCACCATTAATTAGTAATCAGGGAGTCAGATGACTGATCCTTGGCTGTAAAATTTTAAAAAATGCATTATCAAAAGTTACATAAACACAAACTCCAACAAGAAAGCCTCCTCTACATGCCTTTAAACATACATTTGAGCACTTTATTAGGAATACCGGTGTAAATCTTCATCATTTTTAGTTTTAGTTGACATCGTCAGAAAACTGCTTATTGAGGTCATAGTGGGTGGGATTCCTAATATTTTGTTCACAGTGTTAACACAAGAACATTAATGATAATCATAAAGTACAAATATCACCTTTCTGATAATGTCAAAAACTAAAAATGTAGAAATTTTGGAAATATTTTGTTGTATCAGGTTGCATTCGATCACACAGGTATCCTCATAAGTGCTCGATGAATGCATGTTTAATTTAATAGAGAAATACAGTACATTTCTACAATATATTTAGAAAAATAAAATTCAGTAGGCTTCTAGCAGCTTTTCTTATCAATAGAAATGGAAACAAGGATTCGATAAAAATGTCAAATTAATAAACTGAAGAGCTTCCCAAAGACTGTTTTACCTGTAACTAATCATTGGCCAGGCAGGGAATTGACTGACTCATAGAAACATAGTCTTTCGATCTATAACACATAATGTTTACTCTCTAGTGGGGTGTTTTCAGATGGTTTAAGGAGAACTGACTTCATTCTAGTCTGTCATTTCTTTGTGATTCTGCCCTCTGTACAGTGTTACAGAATTTTGCCTCAGAAAAAAAGAGAATAGAAAATATAGCAGAATTCAAATATACAGCCACAAATATTAAGAAAATATAAGATTTTCCTGTTATAGAGTGCTTTTCAGAAGAGAAAAGTGCTTTTTGTGTTAAAGTAGCTCATCCAGAGAGCCCGTGTTTACTTTTTCTGTTGCTGTCTCAGGTGTTGCAGCATTTTGTGAGCAGCAGACAGACTCTGGATCTGTCTCAAATGTTGAAAGTCCAAGGCTGTGTGTTCTGCTCTCAGCAGTCCGATGCTGCAACATTCAGCATCAGCTGGTCAGCTGTCTGTCCGTCCGTCAATGTGGACATTGAGCCGGTCAGAGCGATTCCCATCATCCCCACCGCCCTGCTGAGGGGTCTGACCAGCATCAACCAACCACTTGCTGCGAGCCGTCAGAGAGGGTAAGAACACAACACCCTAACTAGCAGCCGTTACACTGCTTCTAACAGAGCCTGGTCACATTTTGCCTCATTTATTTGCGGTGTTTGCAGGTTTGTGACCATGGATCAAACCAGGAAACTCCTCCTGCTGCTGGAGTCTGATCCTAAAGCCTCCAGCCTGCCTCTGGTGGGAATGTGAGTTTTACTGTTCTGCCTTGGTTCACTACTCTGGCTGTGATAGTACATAAAGGTCACGGATCAGTAGAGAGTTTGGTTTTGAAATTACAGTTCAGTACATGTTTGGTTCTTTTTTCAATAGTACCTAGTGTGCCATAAGGCACTAAAATGCTGAATTCTGTCCATAAAAGAGGACTCTGAGCTGTTTTCTCAGTATAAAATGAACAATTGTTATCTGTTCAGAGGTTGCACAGTGGCTCGATGGTTAGCACCGTCACCTTGCAGCTAGAAGATCCCCAGTTTGTCCCAATGAGGACACTGGGGATCTTTCTGTGTGGCGTCTCCATGTTCTTCCTGTGCAGCGTGGTTTCTCTGGCTTCCTCCCACAGTCAAAAAACATGTTGAGGTTAATTGGTGATTCTAAATTGTCCGTAGGTGTGAATGTGAGTGTGTTTGGTTGTCTGTCTCTAAGTGTAGCCCTGTAATAGACTGGTTACCTGTCCAGGTGTCCTCTGCCTTCACCCTGAGTCAGCAGGGATAAACTCCAGCCCCCTGCAACCCCAGTGAGGATTAAGAGGTGTATAGATAATGGATGGATATTCAAACAAGTGCAAATGATGATTAAGTAAATCAGCCATTAAAGCAAGCAGTGCAATCTCTGCGTTAATAATTGTACTGCAGAAAAAAAAAAAAAAAATAAAATTGTACTGCTTTTTCACTTTATGTTCTTGTTTGAAAAAGCTTGTCGCCACTTGATGTAAACACTTTGTGTCAACTCTACATGGCAGCCGGTCGATTGGCTCATACAGTGTGAGCAGCAAGCTCACAGATCCTGGCTGCAGGAAGGCTGATTGAAGCTCAAGCTCACTGAGTAGTGGGACTTAACACATGGTATGTGTTAAAAAAAAAAAAAAATGGCTTCAGTCTTTCAGGCTAACTGTGCCACTAAGCTATAGCCAATGGACAACAACACATGCACAGACACAAGGTTCTGGGTGGTGCTCATGCGCCACAATCCATTTTTGTTCTAGGAATGACAGTAATTGTTTGGTTCACCTGTCATACCGAGCCAAAATACTTCAGTCACAGAGTACTTTGTGGCAAATACATGACTGAACAATACATGGCATTCAGAAAATATTTACTGTCCTCACTTTTCCTCACTTTTCCCTTTTTTTTTGTCACAGTTTAAGTTGCAGTCTCATTCTAAACTTCTTAAATAGCTTTTCTCTTCATCAGACTACATGGAATACTCCATAATTACAAGCGAAAACAGGATAGAAATCTTGGAAATTTTTTTACAAATGAAACACAATATGCTTTCATCAAACCAAATTCTTAATGGTCGGACAATCACCGGCAAAAAGCTCTACATCTATGGCTTTCCAGGACTAATCCATTATTTTTGGTGCAGGAGGAACAGGCTACATGTGAACACCCCTACGTATGAATAACTTTGAAACTTTGAACCAACCCGACCAAACGGAGACTGAGGTCTAACCTTTAAAACATTTTCTACAATGCATTTTGTTGGCCATTTATCTGCTTATTGTTTTTTTTTTGTTTTTCCTTTTTCCTTTGTCAGCTTTGAATAGTACCTTGACATGTTACGAATACTGTTTCTTTGATATTATTGCCGATAAGGCATCTCTTACAATACCATCAGAGTTTAACATGGTGAACATTTCATGCCAAAGAATCAACTGTGAAATCTGAAACACGGAAGTGAAATGAAATGAATGAAATGAAATGAAAAATACTTTATTTATCCCAGAAGGGAAATTCAATCTTGTAAAAGCTCACTTTTTTTATTTTTTTTAAATCAATATAACATATATTATATACAACAATAATAATCATTCAGTCAGTCGGATTTGTTTTTTAAGGTGATGGCTGTTGGCAGGAATGACTTTGTGTATCTCTCCGTTCGACAGCGAAGCTGACGCAGCCTCCCACTAAACACACTCTGTTGGTTCTTCACTGTGTTGTGGAGAGGGTGAGAAGAATCCTCCGTCATCTTCATCATCTTGTGCAGCATTCTTTTTTGAACAATCAGCTCCAGTGGTTCCAGAGTTATACCCAGCACAGAACCAGCTTTCTTGATCAGCTTGTTTAGCTTCTTTAAGTCTCTGGTTCTGATGCTACTGCCCCAGCAGATGGCTGCAAAGCTGATTTCACTTTCCACAACAGACTTATAGAAGATCTGCAACATCTTGGTGCA